ATTTTGGAAATTGTTAAAAATTGACCGCAATTTTCAATTTTTAAAAAAATTTCTTTTGAAAAATTTGGTAAAAAATTCCCAAAAAATTCTGAGATATCAATTTCGTCGTATTGATTTCAAAAACAGCCTGTTCATGCCCACGTGAAAGATTAAAAAATATTCGGTTTGAAAATATATACTTTTTTAAATCGAAAAAATTGAAATGTTTTGTTGGCGATTCTGAAAAAATGGTAGCTGCTATCAAGGAAATGAGGTTGAAACTAAACTCTAGAGATCGAAATCTATAAGAAATTGGTTAAATTTCAGAAATTGTCAAAAATTGACCGAAATTTTCAGAATTTAATAAGTTTTTTTCAAAAATTTGGTAAACAATTCCAAAAAAATTCTGAGATATAAATTTCGTCGTGTTGATTCCAAAAAGAGCCTGTTTATGCCCAGGTGAAAGATTAAAAAATATTCGGTTTGAAAATGTATTTTCTTAAATCGAAAAAATTGTGATGTTTAGTTGGCGATTCTGAAAAACTGGTAGGTACTATCAAAGAAATGAGGTTGAAACTAAATTCTAGAGATCGAAAACTATAAGAAATTGGCTTTGGTTGAATTTCGGAAATTGTCAAAAATTGACCGAAATTTTCAGAATTTAAAAAAATTTCTTCTGAAAAATTTGGTAAACAATTTACAAAAAATTCTGAGATAAATTTCGTCGTGTTGATTCCAAAATGAGCCTGTTTATGCCCAGGTGAAAGATTAAAAAATATTCGGTTTGAAAATATATTTTTTTAAATCGAAAAAATTGAGATGTTTAGTTGGCGTTCTGAAAAACTGGTAGGTGCTATCAAGGTAATGAGATTGAAACTAAATTCTAGAGATCGAAATCTATAAGACATTAGCTTTGGATAAATTTCGATAATTGTCAAAAATTAACTCGAATTTCATGATGGATATCGAAATATTTTGATTTTGAAAAAGTTTATAAAAAAAATACAAAAAATTGTGGTATACGGATTTCGTAGTACCGATGGATTTACAAAAAAACGTCTCATAAAATTTGTTTTCGATATTAAAAAAATGCAATATGTTAGTTGGCGATTTTGAAAAAATTGTAGGAGCTATCCAAGAAATGGGACGGAAACTAAACTTTTGAAAACGTTATTTAAAAATCCTCAAAAAATTCTGGAATACAGATCTCGACGTGCTGATTTCAAAAATCTAGCATGTTTGTGGTTGCGAAGCAATATTTTCGAAATATTCAGTTTTAAAACAAAAATTTTTAAAACTTCCGAAAATTGCAATTTTTCAATGGGTGATTCTGAATTCAGTTAAGTTTCGAAAATGGTCGAAAATGGGTCGAAATTTGAAGAATTGGAAAAATTGGAAAAAAGAATCGAGAAATTGAAGTATCGACAAACTGAAAACTCCCTACACTGAAATATGAACAAATTCATAAATCAAAAAATTGAAAATCAAGAAATTGAAAAATTGAAACCGAATAATCAAACATTTGAAAATCGAAATATCAAAGAATGGAAAAAGTGACATATTGAAAAGTTGAAAAATTTCCAAGAATAAAATGATGAAAAATTTATAAATGGAAAACTGGAAAACTCGGAAAATCTAAATATCCAAATCAAAAATTTTAAAAATCGGAAAAATGAAGTGCCTAATTTTTATTAATCGATGAACCGAAAAATCGAGAAATCGAAAATCAGTAATTTAAAAAAATTGAACAATTAAAATATCAAAAAATTGAAAAATCGAGAAATTGAAAAACCGAGAAGTCGAAGCACCGAAACATCGAAAATTTCGAAAACTGAAACATCGAGAAATCGAAACATCAAAAAACTGAAAAATTTAAAAAGTCGGTAAATTGAAAAATAGAAATATCGAAGAACTAAAAAATCGGAAAATCGGAATACCTAAAATTTTAAAAATTGACTAATTAAAATTCCAAACAAGTGAAAAATCGAAACATCAAAAAGTTGAAATATTTGCACTTTGATGAATCGAAATATTAGAAAATCCTAAAACTGAAGTATCGAAAAATTGAGAAATGAAAGAAAAATTGAAGATTCGAAAAACTGAAAAATTCTAACACTCACTTATTGAAAAATTGGGAAATCGAAAACTTGAAAAGTTGTGAAATCGAGAATTGGGAAAAATCAAAAAATCGGTTAATCCAGAAATTGAGACATCGAATAGTTGAAAAACAGAAACGTCAAAAATTCAAAATTTTAAAAATCAAAAATATGAAGAATCAACAAAGTGAAAAATCGAAAAATTGAAAAATTGTTGTATCTACAATTTCGTTTTTTTTTTCAAAAATCTCGATATCTAGAATAAAAATTAATTGGCACTGTTTTTCGATCATATGTTGATTTTGTGACTCCAATCCTGACTGAGAAATCAAAGAAAAACAGAAAATCTCCAAAATTAACAGATCGATTGTTAAATTTTACAAGCATTTTTTTTTTCTTATACTGCTACTATTTATATTTTTTAACTTACAGGAATTATCACAAAATAAATAAAATTCACTAAATTTGGTTTTAAAGTATAATTTTTAAAAAATTCCATAAATTACAAATGTAACTCTCAAAAATGGTCGAAAGTGGTCGAAATTTGGTATTGGAATAATTTCACTTTTGAGAAAGTTGTCCAAAAATTCACAAAAAATTTTAGGATATGGATCTCGTCGTGCTGATTCCAAAATATATATTTATGGTCACACAGCAATATTTTCGAAATATTCGGTTTTAAAATCAAATTTTTGAAAATTCCAAAAATTACGAAATTTCAGTGGTTGATTCTGGAAAAAAGGGTTGGGGTTATCAAAGAGACGAGGATAGAAATGAATTCTAGACATGAAAATCTACAAGCAAATGTGTTTAGTTAAGTTTCGAAAATTGTCGAAAATGGTCGAAATTTGAAGAAGTTGAAAAAATTTCACTTTTGAATAAGTTGTCTAAAAATCCTCAATAAATTCTAGAATATAGATCTTGACATGCTGACTTCAAAAATGTAACATGTTTATGGTCACCGAGCAATATTTTCGAAATAGTCTGTTTTAAAATAAAATTTTTGAAAAATTCCAAAAATTGCAATTTTTCAATGGGTGATTCTAGAAAAACGATTGGAGTTATCGGAGAAACGAACCCGGAAGTGACTTCTGCGGCGCGAAATCAACAAAAAAATGCATTTAGTTAAGTTTCGAAAATGGTCGGAAATGTCTCGAAATTTGAAAAGGGGGTGTTGAAAAAATTTCACTTTCGAAAAAGTTGTCTAAAAATTCAGAAAAAAATCTAGGATATGGATCTCGACTTGCTGATTTCAAAAATAGAGCATGTTTATGATTACGGAGCAATATTTACGAAATAGTCAGTTTTAAAATAAAATTTTTGAAAAATTCCAAAAATGACGAGACTTCAATGGGTAATTCTGGAAAAAACGGTTGGAGTTATCAAAGAGACGAGGGTGGAAATGAATTCTAGAGATGAAAATCTGCAAGCAAATGTGTTTAGTTAAGTTTCGAAAATTGTCGAAAATGGGTCGAAATTTGAAGAAGTTGAAAAAATTTCACTTTTGAAAAAGTTGTCTAAAAATCCTCAAAAAATTCTGGAATGTAGATCTCGACGTGCTGATTCCAAAAATGTAGCACGTTTATGGTCACCGAACAATATTTTCGAAATATTCGGTTTTAATATCAAATTTTTACTTTTTATTTTAGTCTGCTTTATGAAAAGTTTAAAATTTATTAATCTCTTCAAAACATTTAAGAAAAAAACTCGTGTGCAGGCGAAACATTTTGGCTGCTCGTAAAATATATTATAAGTAGAAATTAAAAAATTTAAAATTACAATAAATCTGTCAAAAACAAAATTATGTGTGGCTCAAATCTGTTGAGTCGGCGTTAAAAAGTTTAAAGAAACCACTATTTTTATGCAATTGAACAAATCTACTCAAAAATGGATAAATATCTTTGAAGATCACGAAAACTGAACTTATTTTCGACACCTCTGTCCAACAAACAAAAACCGACTTAACAGCCAAGACCTAAAATCGCTCGAATACCGACTCCACGAGACCCATCCGTGCAGACTCCCGACATTTGATGATTTATGACCACTTTAATGGCTCCTAAATAGATTTTCGTTCCGTTCTCTCCAGCCCGACTTCTCCGACATCACAATACAGCCCATCAAAGATCGCAGTCCAACACCACGAAAACACACAACCACACAAAAATCCACTCCGCGCCACCCACAGCCACCACCAACGCTGTTTTTTATGCTCCTTAATTTTATATTGCAGCTCTTTCAATCCCCAATATCAATTTCCCGAATCTCCCGACGTGCCGCAGTATTTCCATAACCTTTTAAAACGTCCCAGACCGTATCAAATCCGACGGGATGAAAGACACGTTTTTTCTTGATCAAATGGAAGGTATTTACGTTCGTGGTAATACACAGAGGAGGAGGATTTGCGTAATTCTTTACCACGTTTTATGTATCTGCTCCGAGATGTAATAAATAACGGAGACGTGGAGGCTGGTGAAGAGCTGGGCTGTGGATTTACTCAAGACAATATTGTACCGAGGTTATCCTCGGTTCGGTGATATCGAGCGGAGGATTCTTTTATTTCTATTCGTTATCTGATTCTCATCCATAATCTTCGACATCATTGTTTCATTTTTCATACAACTGGATATTGCAGTTGTTTTGTTTGTGATTTTTCTGGAAGCTGTGAACGTTTGTTAGGGTTTCCATTTACTGGGCACTGGGAATAAATCGTTTTTTACTTCTTGTGATAAAGGAATGGCGTTCGCAGTGACTGAACATGGTCGATTTATCTGTGGAAATCTTTCACAGCCAAATATAATCCCACCGAGAATAATAAAGCTATTAAACTTTTCCCAGGAGGGTGGAAAACCGATCCATTTTATAAATATTTAATGGGCAATATCGACAAGGCACTATATAATAATAATAATAAAAATACAAGAATCGGGGAATAAACCTGCACCAAATTTCTTCAGTAATTTATTCATGATTTGTATAACACATACCAGTATAAAACCCCCAACGCAATCACCGCCGCCAACATATAAATAACAAAAATTAGTTCCAGTAAGGGTTGGCTTGCATTCTCCGTATAAGGAGTTTCTTTTTTTTCGAACTCTAGCTTGTCAAAATTTTCGGTACTATAAGCAACAAACTCGGCTTCTTTGTGATATAAATGAAATAAGTTAGCGACACACCGTATTTTAGCTCTTCTGTAATTATAGCTACCATAATAAGGTAGCTCTAGTACCGATAGGGTCATCCTTGGGTGGTTCCCTGTCGCATTTGTATGGGTCGAAATGTACGTATCCGTACCTTTAAAGGTCTGAAAAATCTTACTTTGAGTAAATAATAATACTCGCACTACTTTATCTACACCTTTGAATTGTTGACAACCCATGTGATGTTAATTGGTGGATCAGAAGCTGGAGACGCACATTCAGCACGAATATCAGAGTTCCTTATATAGTACCTCACACTAGGGGATTCCTCTGGAACGTCTGGAACAACCCAAATTATCCCACAAACGCTCAAATTACTAATTTACTAATTTAAACTCACCAAGCACATACATGAAAGCCGTCTGTAGCGACGAACGAAAAAATGGTACTTCTGTGGAAACTTCGCACCCATAAACACCCGTATCGTTCGACTGGACGTTCGAAATCACAATTTGAGAAGAATCACACTTGTCGAGCTAAAATTATCCTTTAGAGTGTGTCGAGTACTGAGTTTCCCTTACCTCTAGATTGATTCCAGGTACATTGAACGATTTTCCGGGTGGTACTTCAGTCGGTTTGTACCGAAAGATCGCCGTTCCGTCCTTGAACCATTTAACTTCTTGCAGAGTTCCCTCAGAGGAGTCTAATTTACACCCAAGGGTCACCGTGTCCGAAATTTTGGCGGCTGGTGGGACCGTTAGAGACACATTTGGGCTGGCGCATTTGGCTAGAAATCACCACTGTGTGATGTCTTGTGTCATTTAGTATGCAGGTTTAATATTTATGAGTGAATCAACTTAATGGAAGGAAATTGCTTGTTAGATGATCATTTTAAGTGCAAGATGGTTGTAGAGTTATTTATGTTCGAAGTGATGCAAATTTGTTGTTAATGAGTTTTAACTAAATAATGAATGGGTTTGATGCTAATTAGTAATTACTAACCGGTTATTAGAAGGGTGATAGTTAGGATTGACGTTTGAGTGGTGTACATCGTCTGAAAGTAGTAGGTTTGAAATGTTTGACGTGTTCACTTTAGGATGAGCAAACACATACTGCACGTTAAAGGATTAGAAGCTACGCAGGATGTCTGAGATATACAAAACAGTTGTTAGAAAATAATACTACATAATACAAGGATGTTAATTTATCTAACTAAGCAAAATATCGTAATAACAATAATGTTTTGAAGGACATCTAGTTTCGTCATTTTTGGCGTCTACACCTCTTAAAAAAAAATGTAAGTTCCTTATTTTCGACCATCAAGAGGAAATTTAATAATAATAATAAATTAACCACAGTTTATGTTCTAACAGAACAATGTTCTGAAAGAGACAATAATATAAAAATAAATGGCTACTCAATGCTAATAAGTAAGTAATTATAAGAAATTTTTGAAATATGTTATCAATTATTTTTTACCGTTCTAAAAATTAGAACGAAGAAATAAAAATTTCAAGGAACCAAATGTACTAACCTGCAATGTATATTTTTGTGCCAGTTTGTCTTGTTAATTTTTTTTTAACTCATAAACTACACCTTCCTAAAAATACTTTTTCCATACTAAACACATCGAGCATTTGGTCTGAAAATTGGTCATAGAACTAGAAAGCTTCAATGAAGCGAATGCTCCAAAAAGCAAGGTCGATTTTAGAACGGTTCTGGAATTATCGTCCCTTAATTTGAAAAAAATATCTTTTCTTAATTCGTAAATGACATCATCCATTCGTTCCTCTACATTAAACGAATCAAGTATCTGGACAAAAAAATAACTCGCAGGACTAAAAAACTTCAGGAAATTAAATTTTCTGAACCGTCAGGCCGATTCTTGAACTGTTCTGGATTACCTTCCATTAAATTTGGTAAAAAAGAATTTTCAGAAATTCAAGAATCTCCAGAATCTTCAGAATATTTCGAAATTTTAAAATCTCTATAATCTGTAGTCTTGGATTCCGCTTTTGAAATACTCAGAATCTACAGAATGTCCAGAATTTTTGGAACCTTTGGATTTCCAAAGCTTCGGAATATCAGAAATATTTGAAATTTCTTAAAATTTGGGAACTCTTGAAATCTTTATGATCTTCAGAATCTTCAATCTTCAAATTTTTTAGAATCGTCAGCTTTCGAACTACGCAGAATATTCAGAATAGTAGGAATCTTTGGAATTTCAGAATTTTCAGAATCTTCAGAATCTTTAGAATTTTCAGAATTTTCAGCATCTTCAGAAACTTTCGAATTTTTAAAATATCTGGAATCTCTACTCTCGGAATAGCAGGACTTTTTGGGAATTTCTGGAGTCTTGGAATACTCAGAATTTTTGAAATGTCTGTAATTTCTATAACCTGTTGATTTTTTGAACCTTCAGCTGTTGAAATACTCGGAATCTTTAGAAACTTCAGATTTACCAATTTTTTGAACATTCAGAACCTTCGAAACTTTCAGAATCTTCAGAACCCTTGGAATTAGTAGAATCTCTGGAACCTTTGGAATTTATGGAATCTTTATATTCCTCAGAATCTTCGTAACCTAAAAGTTTTTGATTTTTTGGAATCTTAGTTTTTAAAATTATTGCAATCTTTAGAAAATTTAGAATTTTTGGAATCATCAGTCTTCGAAGTACGCGGAATATTCATAATTGTAGGAATCTTTGGAATTTCGGAACTTTTAGAATTTTCAGAAACTTTAGAATCTTGAAAATCTTCAGAATTTTCAAAATCTTCAGAACCTTTCGAATTTTTAGAGTCTCTGCAATTTCTAGTCTCGGAATAACAGGAATTTTTGAAATTTCTGAAATTTCTCCAGATCTATCAATTTTTGTAACGTTCAGAACCTTCAAAACTTCCAGAATCTTCAGAATTTTTGCAATTCCTAGAATCCCTGAGACATTCGGAATTTCTGAAATCTTTGTATTCCTCAGAATCTTCGTAACTTCAAAGTTTTAAGACTTTCTGAAATCTTCGATCTTCGAATTATTCAAATCTTCAGAAAGTTTGAAAGTTTAGAATTTTGAAATCGTTATTATCTTTAGAATCTCTAGAAGCCCTAAATATTCTAAATCTTTGAAATTTCTGCAATCTCTACTCTCGGATTATCCGGAATTTTTTAAATTTCAGGAATTTCTGAAAACCTTTCGAATTTATAAAATCTTTGAAATCTTTATATTTTTTGGAATCGTCAACTTTTGAAATACTCAAAATCTGCACAATGTCCAGAATTTTTGGAATCAAGTCTGAATATCAAGGATATTTGGAGTTTCTGAAATTTCTAGAACTTTCGAAATCTTTATAATCTTCAGAATCTTCAATCTTCAGATTTTTTGAAATTGTCAGTCTTCGAAGTACGCAGGATATTCAGAATAATAGAAATCTTTGGAATTTCAGAACTTTCAGAATATTCAGAATCCTTAGAATCTTAAAAATCTTCAGAATCTTCAAGATTTTCAGGATCTTCAGAATCCTCTGAACCTTTAGAATATCTAGAACTCCTGGAACCTCTAGTCTCAGAATAGCAAGCATTTTTGGGAATTTCTGTAATTTCTCGAGTCTTGGAATATCCGGAATAATTAAAATTTCCGGAATTTCTGGAGCCTTTGGGACCTTTATAAATTAATAATCTTTGGAATCTTAGCCTTTGAAATACTCTTCAAATATACGGAATTTTTGAAGTTTCTGGAATTTATGGAACACTCGGAATCTTCAAAATTGTAAGAATTTTCAAAATCTTAATTTTTTTGGAATCTTCAATTTTACAAATACTGAGAATTTTTAGATTTTTCGGAATCTTTAGAATTATCAATATTTTTGTTCAAAATACTTATAATCTTTAGTATATTCATTCAGAATCTTCAGACTCTTCTGTATCTTCACAATCTTCAAAATTTTTCGAATTTTTCGAATCTCTGCGGGAAATGACCGCAATTTTTGGAATTTCTGGAGTCTCGAAATCTCTAGAATTTTTTAAATTTCTGAAATTTCTCGAATCTTTGAAGCCTCTAGACCTTTAGAATCTTCGGAATCTTCAAATACTTCAGATTTCTTGAAACCTTCAGCTTTTGAAATGCTTGCAATCTTTAGAATGTTCAGATTTATATAACAGTTGTTGGAATTTTTAAAATGTTCAGAATTTCCAAATTCTTCAGAATCTTTCGAATCTTTGGAATTCCTAGAATCTTTACAACTTTTAGAATTTCTAAAATCTTTGACATGTCTGAAATCTCCTCAAAGTTTACAAATTTTTTGGAATCTTCGTTCTTCGAAAAATCCAAATCTTCAGAACCTTTAGAATCTTCAAAATCTTTAGATTATTTAAAATTCGTACAATCTCTAAATATTCTAAATCTTTCGAATTTCTGGCATCCTAGGGCCCCGAAATATACGGAAATTTTGAAATTTCTGAAATCTCTGCAATTTTTGGAATCTTTGTAATTTTCCGAATCTTCAAAATCCTTCAAGTCTTCAGATTTTTTGGAATATTTAATTTTCAAACACTGTGAATACAATTGTCGGAATCTTTAGAATCTTCAGTATCTTCATTCAGATTATTTAAAATCCCCAGGATATTTCTAATCTTTACAACCTCTAAAATTTTCCAACTCTCGGAATATCAGGGATATTTGAAATTTCTGAAATCTGTACAACCTTTTCATAACATTATAACTTCAGACTTCAAATTTTTTGGAATCCACAGCCGAAGTATGCAGATATTCAGAATAACCGGAGTATCGGAATATACGAATTTTTTGAATCTTTAGAACCTTTGGAACCTTTATAACATTAGCATTTTCGGAAGCTTCAATCTCAAAGACTTCAGATTTTTTGAACCTTCAGCTTTTGAAATACCCGGAATCTTTAGATCTTCAGATTTATCAATTTTTGGAACGTTTAGAACCTTCAAAACTTCCAGAATCTTCAGAATCTTTGGAATTTCTACACTCTCTGGAACTTTTGGAATTTCTGAAATCTTTGAATTCCTCACAATCTTTGTAACTTCAAAGTTTTCAGATTTTTTGGAATCTTCGGTCTTCGAATTATTCAAATCTTCAGAAAGTTTAGAATCTTTGAAATCTTTATTATCTTTAGAGCTTCTAGAGTCCCTAAATATTCTAAATCTTTGTAATTTCTGGCATCTCTAGTCTCGGATTATCTGGAATTGTTTAAATTTTTGGAATTTCTGGAACATTTCGAATTTTTAAAACCTTTGAAATCTTTATATTCCTCAGAATCTTCAGCTTTCGAAATGCTCAAAATCTACAAAATGTCCAGAATTTTCAGATTTTTTGGAATCGCCAGTCTTCGACGCAGAATATTCAGAATTGTAGGAATCTTTGAAATTTCAGAACATTTTGGAGTCTTCAGAATCTTTAGAATTTTCAGAATCTTCAAAATCTTCAGAATCTTCAGAATTTTCAGAATCTTTGGCATTCCTAGAATCTCTCAAACCTTGGGAATTTCTGAAACCTTTGAAATAACTGAAATCCGTATAATTCTTCAAAATCTTCGTAAGAAGAAAGTTTTCAGATTTCCTTCTTCGAAATATTCAAATCTTCAAAAACTTTAGAATCTTCAAAATCTGTAGAATTTTTAGAATCCCTAAATATTCTAAATCTTTGGAATTTCTGGAATCTCTAGGGCCTCGGAATAAAAAAATTTCTTTAAATTTCTGAAATATCTGGGACTATTGGAATCTTTGTCATTTTTCTGAATCTTCGGAACCTACAAAGCCTTCAGAATTTTCGCTATATTTAGAGTCTTTAGTATATTCATTCAGAATCTTTAAAATCTCCAGAATCTTTCGAATTTTAACAACTTTCAAAATTTTTAAAGCCGCGGAATATCCGGAATTTTTGGAATTTTTCGAACCGTTGGAATATTTGAAATGTTCGAAATCTTCAATTTTCAAAGTTTATGGAATCTTCAATTTCAGAAATATTTACAATCTTCAAAACCTCCAGAATTCACAGAACCTTCAGAATTTTCGGAATCTTAGAATCTCTATACTCTCAGAATATACAGAATTTTTTGAAAGTTTGGAATCTTTAAAATCTTTGGAATTTTCAAAGTTTTCAGATTTTT